ATATATATATATATATATATATATAAGGTTGGGATCCGGTGAGAATGACTCTTAATGCGAGAAATAAGAATGAATTCGATACACAAGATCAACACAATCTGATGGTCACCACGGGGCCGCTGAAACTTAATTGACATATCAACAGGAGGGTAAGAATGTAACTATATATCTTTTAGAAATTAATGGAATCCTGCATTGAAAATCCCGTCCCACCCATTAATTCATTAACACAATTCATTAATACACGTTACCAATTACCACTCCCCAGATCCCATCCATCTGCCACCAACCTCACCACTTTTCTCTCTCACACACACTCTCACTCTCTCATACACACGCACGCGACACACACACCAAACACACACTCGCCGGCGGAACCTTCAGCCATGTCGCCGCCGCCGATGTCATGCTGCCGCCACCGTCACGAATATGCCTCTGTCACGCTGCCGCCGCGCCACTGCCGCCGCCAAACATCATCTGCAAATTTTCGTCGGTTCCTCCGTTGCTGCAGCGATTTCTTCAGCCGTTTCGACTCATCTCCAGCGACCTTCCATTCGCTGCCAATATGGACTCAACGGACAGCCCTCCGCCGCCGACGACTAACTCCGGCGACCTTCATTAGCCACCAACTCGACCTTCCACCAACCCCGAACAAGAAGTTCCTCCGGCCCGCCGCTCAGCTCCGATGCCGAGAAGGTCATCTCCTCCAGTGACACTCTACACCGGCGCATCATCCCGGACGGTCGTCTCGCGACGGCGAAGTGGCGGCCGGACTGAACATTGATGTTGGATTTGGCAATTTTTTGAAAATTTGATAGTTTATAAGGACTTGATTGCAATTACAAGATTTTATATTATATTTCACTTTAACCCATGGGTTAAATCTGTAATTATAAAAAATATATAAAAAATATTACTTTTATATGTTTTTTGCTACATGTATGTACATTGTATTTTTTGTAACAAAAATAAATTATAAAAATATATAAAAAATATTTAATTAATAGATACATTTTTATAATATTAAATAATGTTTATTTTAATTATTTTCATTAATTCGGTGTAGAATTTTATCTAATAAATATAGTGTTAGAAAAACACATGCTTTATACGTGATCACATAAAGTAGTGCACTTTATATTTCAGCACGATGAACTTTATAACACAAAACGTTGCATTTTATAAAGCAAACCGTTGCACTTTATCACCAGACTCCATAATTAAAATTCATATTATTAGACAAACAAAATATTTAGGTCAATTTTTAATATAAATAATTTGATAAAATTTTAGTATGTAAATTTTAATATATAAAAAATATTAAAATAATAAATGTACTTTTATGATAATAAATAATAAATTATTTCAATTATTTAGATCAATTTGATGTACAACTATATCGACTAAATCAATTTTTCACTAACACACAACTTATATTTGATTGTATAAAGTAGTGCACTTTATATATCATCACTTTATAAAACATCACGTTGCACTTTATACAACAACCAGTTGCACTTTATATGTAACGCCCCACTTTTATTTGCCGAAAATTCGAATAAATTTTTCAAATTTTATTTCAAAACTTATTTTCAAACACCTGAGGCGCTACTCATTTTCAAAACGAACCTCAACACTTATTCAATTTCTCAATAGTCAATTAATTAACAAGCTCAATCATCAATCAATAATACTAACTCCCAAGCGGGTTTTCCAAAAATCCATAAATCACCCATACCGGGTTCCAATAATATTCATAGATTCGAAGGAGCATCTCCTTAACATTATTCAATCATAAAATCCGAGAATCTTAAATGCAATAATACTCCAAGCTATAATCATAAAAACCAGTTTACGAATGCGAAAACATAACAAATAATAAGACCGGTCGAATAATTCAACCACCACTCGCTCTACTCCGCCGTTGTACCTGCCTCGCTTAACCTGAAACGTGAATTTCAGGTGGGGATGAGCACAATTGGAAATCGTAGTGCTCACCACTATGCAATAAACATTTACACATCAAAACGGTAACAGAGATAGTACGATCACAACATGTATATGAATCAATTTAAGTATCCCAGGTGTCATCGTAAATTCACAGTGTTCAGACTCATGTGCACATCTATACCAATAGACTACTGCCGGTAGACGCATCGAATGCCCCACGGGCTTCTATCGAACGCCCCATGGGCTTTACGTCTCTGCCCTCCGGTCTTACACATCGAATGCCCCATGGGCTTCTATCGATGCCCAGTCAGTAGGAGTAACCCCTCGGGTTTTCATTTCATAAATACGGGACAACGTTCGACGGCCGGCACAGCTCACATCGAAGGTTACATGATTCGTAAGTACACATTGATCATATACGAGTAAAGTAAACAATTTATTGCATAGACAATTTTAAATAAAACTCACCTGGTAAATCGGTAGAAAAAGCACACAAATAGGTCGGTAGGTCGAGGGCTCGACTCCTCAAACACCTACATTTAATCAAGATAATCTCTTAAATATATTATCTTGATATTTACAATCATTAAGGACGCACACTTAATCAAAATTATGATTAAGAGATTTTATCGAAATTTTTCGGAATTTTCGTGGACTTGGAACTCTCAAATTTTTAAAAGAAAAGACTCGGGGACCAAAGATAGAGTCTCGAGACTTAAAATAATTTTTTCCAGATTTTTCTCATTTCGAAAATATTTATAAAATTGAAATCGGTGTTAAAACAGGCTTCCGGAACACCAATAATGCCAAAAGGCCGCACTGGACCACCTGTGCGCACGCTGGGCCGAAGACTGCCCCGAAATTGGGCCTACCGCGCCATTTGGGCCGCTCTAAAACAGGTTGGTAATTCACGGGCTCCTGCGGGCTGGACGCGGGCTGACATGCTGAGAGAGATTCGGGCCCGCGCGGGCTGAATTCAGGCCTAACGGCCCGCGCACCTGTCTACTGCTTTACTTGGGCGAAAAAAAATAAAGAAGGGGACTGTCTGGTGCTAGATTTTGAACTCAGGACCTCAAGCACAACAGTGCACATGGAAGACCACTGCGCCACACGCCTTGTTGTGAATTTAAAATATAACATGGCTACTAAATTAAAACTTGGGCTGCAGAATAAATTAACAAAAAGGAAAAGAAAACCTGGGCAACAGAACAAAGAAACACAGCGCACAGAATTAAAAGAAAGACGCAGAGAACAGGGGCTGCGGAAATGCACAACGATCGCATGCAGACTGGATAAAATTCACCCGCACTCGACGTCAACACTTCCAACGACAACCGGGCATCCGAGAAATTAAAAAGTTATCGAAATAAACATATTTTCAGCGTTCCAAAAAAGTAAAATCGGATTTAAAGGGTCGAAAAGCGAATCGACATGTAAGGCTCGAACAAAACATATACGAACAAGACGACCCGAAACATTACCACGAGTCTCCGCCTCTTATTCGAAAAATCACAGCAACATCATAAGTCAATTTTTACAAAACGAGAGTTCCGATTTCCCACGAAATTTCACTATTCACAACAACGAACAAAACGAAACAATAATCAATGAAAAATGATTCCACGAGCTCGATTGAATCAACAACGATATACGGCACGAAAATAAAACCAGGGAGTTCGAAAAAAGGTTACCCATCTTCGGGATTTCACGAGCTCGGAAGGGAAAACGGACGAGACGGTCGGGAACCTCGAAAACTCGACGGACAGCTACTCTTCACGAATGGCCTGCTGGACTTCTTCGGACTGACTGACGGATGATCAGGAACTCGAAGGTACGTCGGTTTCTTCGAACGGCTGCCGGAGGTGGTCGCCGGAATCAATGGCAGACGGGTAAACTTGCTGCGAACAGGTTTGATGGCGAACGGTCAGGGCATACGAGGAGGGCTCGCGAACAGAGTGACGTGTGGAGGGTTTTTCGTCGGAAAAAGGATGATGCTGCTCGGAACGACGGTCGCCGGCGAACAGTATCTCGCCGGGCTGGTGCGACAGAGGAATTTTTCTCTCTTTTTTTTGTTTTTTATAAATCCCGAAGCTGCTATGCGAGAGAGGGATGAGAAAGCTGCTATACGAGAGAGGGATGAGAGGTTTAATAAAACCTGAGCAAATCCAATCTTTAAAACGAGAGACGAGGTTGAGAGACGTGGGGTGAAATTCACAGGAAAATCGCAACAAAATTAATCCATCCGTTGGGAAAAGAAGACTCATTCACGCGAGAAAAAGGGGAAGGAATTATCTCTTCAATTCACAATTGTTCACGTGATAAATAAAGGGAATGGGCCAAGAATAATTAACTAATCAAATGGGCCAGTGCATAACTTAATTCAAATGGCCAAATTGATTAATCCCAACAGAGCTGGAAAAATACAATTAAAAGGGGCCAACAATATATAAATCATTTGGAGGCTGAAATAATTCGCTATGGGCCGAAAATAAAATATACGTGATAACGAGACTTCCGATCAATCCGATTTACTACAAAAATAATTATAATATACACGACTTATTATATTTATAACACACACAATTTAAATTTTTTTAAATAATAATATTAATAAAAATACGAATATACATTTAATTAGATAATAATAACATTTAAGCATTTAATTACAAGTTGATAATTAAAATCATATTTAGACAATTAGACATTTAATCGCAATTTACAGATAAATCATATAGACATTTAATAATATTCAACATTCAATTAATAATAATAATAACAACAACAAACAAAGGCAAATAATAATAATAAAAATAAATAATATTTAATTCTCAATTATTCAATAATTCAACGGGGCATTACATTATATAACACTCAACGATTAACTTCATTGGCACTCCCGCTAAAACTGTTACACAACATAAATTTAAAAAATAGATAAACATAATAATTTAACATCAATCACATCATTTATTCACACAAACCACAAGCACGTTAACATAGCAAAAGTATATTATTTCAATTTATACTTCAGCACGTTGCACTTTATAAAATAACATATTGCACTTTACAAAACAATATGTTGCACTTTATCACGACTATCAGACTACACATCATAGGTCGAACCCGACCGTAATCATAAAATTTCAACAAAATATAATATAAACATAGTAAGTAAATTTATTAATATATGAAATATAATTTTAATATAAATATCAAATTATTTCTATTATTTATGATAATTCGGTTAACCCAACCGAATAAACCAGTTAATTATGTTCATTTTCAATTTGATTTGAAACAAAGGTTCCATTTGCACCGATCGAACATTATTATTATTATTATTATTATTATTATTATTATTATTATTATTATTATTATTATTATTATTATGCACCGCTATTGCACGATAACGTTACACGAATTGCACCTTAATGACTGTCTGGTTGTACAATATGTACTAAAGTAGATGAATTAAATTGTTCGGCACAACATTTAATGATTTGGCCCGAGTAAAATATTTCTACTCTTAAAATCTCAATTATAATTTACATTTATCACATAATATTATCTATTTTTTTTTAGCATTATTGTACATTTAATATATTTTTATAAATTATGTATATGACCCAAGTACTAAATTGAGATTTATTAGAACTTTTAAAATTGCAATTGAGCCCCTTGTATATATCTAATTCTCCAATAGATGTCCCAACTCATAAACACCATTCACCATCATCTCGCCACCAGCACCCACCTGCGGCAAACTCCTCTCCGGCGACCGGCCATATGCAGCCGGAGAACGAACAGTGGACGTACATAGCCCCTGAGTCCTCAAAACCAAATTTAACAACGGATGAAGAGGGTGGCCGGAAATGAGACGGCCACTTCCGACGACGTTCTCGAGTGCGGAGGCGTCCCCAAATTTATGAAGGCGACTGTGCGTGGTCGGAAGGCGACGGATTCGCCGGACTGTTTTTGCCGGAGGTTCGTAGCCCATCTCCGATAACGGCCATCGGTGGCCCGGCGCTGTGGAGCTGCCTCTGCCAGGATGAAGATGCTCGGAAGATGGGCTGGGTGGTGCGGCCGCCGAGATGGGAAGCTCCGGCGGTAGATCTGGACCTGCGCGACGGTCGGTTGGTTACGGTTGTTGGGGATGGTGGTGACGGCATCGGACAGACTGTTTTCGGTGGTGGGCGGAGTACGGGGGCGGAGAGTGAGCCGGCACTGCCTCTGACGCGGCTGGCGGCAGATAGGTGTGGCGCCGGAGGTTACTCAGATCGTGGAATTGTGTGTGTGTGTGTTGGTGAGAGAGAAAGGGTTGGTGCGTGTGTGTTGGTGAGAGAGAGTTGTTGGAAGGGATTGTAGTGGGACCCACCTGATATATTAATGAATACATAATTACCACTTTGTCCTTAATTAGTGTATAAATACATATATTTGACCATAAAATATCTTCTTATTTACCGTATTGCCATCACATGTTTGACTGCATTATTAATGTTTGACTTCATCATAGCTATTGATATGTTGGATCCAACGATCTACAATTATTCTCATTTCTCGCATTAAGAGTCATTCTCATATGGTCCTTTATATATATATATATATATATATATATATATATATATATAATAAATAAAAATTAGATATTTACTAAATTGATCCGACCGGTTCGATCACTGGTCTAACCAATGAACCGATAGCTTCATTGGTTTGATGATTGGTTCAATTTTCAAAACCTTTAAATTTTTCTTTGATAAGCATACTTCAAATATACCTATTAACTCACCAGCCCCTCCAACAACTACAATAAATTAAACAACATCCCAAAACCAATTTCTCCACCCAGAAGAAGATCAATGAGAACCTCTACTTAAGCATATACCAACATTCATTACCAAACTACCCTTAGAATACTCAAAGCAATCTATCTACATCTACAACTCAACAAAATGTAGCCTCACAATATAATTCTCTAGATACATCTAGAACATCTAACTATCCAATCTCAAATTATCTATCTATACTTCATCTATTGCATCATAGCACATGCATCTGAACCTAAAACATATAAATAGGTTGCTAAGGATCCTATATTGGCAAGAAGCTATGTATAAAAAATTAAAAGCACTAGAATAGACCAATACTTGGCAACTAACAGATCTTCCTAAACACAAACATTGTATATGATGTAAGTGAGTCTACAAGACAAAATATAAATCTAATGGTTCAACTAAGAGGTATAAAGCTTGACTAGTTGCAAAAGGTACACTCAAGAGGAATGCATATATTATTTTGACACATTTTCACTTGTAGCTAAGATTAGTACATTAAGGTTCATTGTTGCTTTAGCTGCTATTAAAAATTGTTTCATTCACCAACTAGGTGTCAATATTGCATTTTTACATTGTGACTTACTTGAAGAAGTTTATGTGAGAGTGAGACCTCCATCAGCGTACTTTTTTCCAACAGATAATAGAGTTTGCAAATTGGGACTTGTATTCTACATTAAAGTTGTATTTTACTTTAAGCAAAATTGTCACTTGGTGATGATGCAACTAAAGCGTACGAAAGGAAAAATAAGAATAGATCAAACTTTTAAGAAGATATTTTTTTTATTTCATAAACAATCGACCCTTAAATACAAGAGAAGATGTATGTTAAATAGAACTCCAAAAGCCTTAACTAAATAACTTGCCAAACAATACAAGGGTTCTAACAAAGTAATAAATAAATAAGTTTCCTAAAAAATCTAGAATACCACTAATAATAATCAAAATAAAGGAAATAAATAATTAATTAATTAAATTAAAGATCTTCGTTCTCTATCATTCTCTCCCTGTCGAAAAGGATTCATCTTAGAATCCGGCACAATCTGGCCGTCGTTAATAGGACCCACACATGATGGTCCACCGCAAACTTGACATGACATGATTCCGTTGTAGCTATATAAGCCTCCATCTTTGACTTTTGTTCTCGACGCCATAAAAAGTAACTCCCAAACTTTAATTGACATTCCATGGCACTCATGTCAGCCACTATCAGATTGTAACCAGCTCTATCTTTGACAATAGGAGGTTTGTTGTCCCTCCGGTCTTGTTTTGGCACAACCGCAGACGCATAAAAGTCATTGGTACCATTCTCAACTTCCTTAACAAAGTTATCAACAACACCCTTTGAATTGAGCGAAGTAGAAGCAGATTTGACGAACGACTCGTGATCAGAGAAATCGACAAGGATCGCCATGGAAGATAAAATCTCAACTTCTGTGATTGAGGCGTCTTTGTTTATGGAACCATTGTCATCATCGACAGTCGCCACGACACCCACCGGCGCCACCAATGCCATAGGATTCTCTTCGTAAAATATCGGCAGACTTTCATACTCGGTCGTCCCCTCGTCATCAAAACGAGGCAGACCCTCATATTCGGTCGACCCTTGCGCTTCCACAAAAACCTCTGAAAATTTGTGAATCTCAACTCAGAACGATGACTCCCAACACCGACCGTTGGCTAAATAGCCGTCATCCCGCACCTGATGACCGAATAGAGTAAACTCGGAGATGATGCCTTCATCACCACCGTCTTCAACCCACGAGTGAGGTAGCCGGGAGCGGGGCGTCCCGCGTGTCCTGGTCGCGACCCTAGTGCATCCCACCGCTCTCCCCATCGTGGGCACAGTTCGACCGATCGCATGAGACGGTAATATGACCAACCAACCTCTTCTCAAACCCTCCAGTCAAATTGGTTATCCGGCGATCCATGTGATCGAATTGCCGGTCGAAGCCCGCGACCATATCCGCGAATTGTAGGCTCAACGACTCAATGGCGCATCGACAGTGTCGGTCCCCTTTGTCGGCATCTTGGATTGTACTGGACTCTGGATACCAACTGATGCAGTGAAAATGTACGAAAGGGAAAACAAGAAGAGATCAAACTCTCAAGAAGATATTTTTACTTTTATTTCATAAACAATCGACCCTTTAATATAAAAAAAAAGGTCTCTTAAATATAACCCCAAATGCCGTAACTAAATAACTTGCCCAACAAGATAATGGTCTTAATAGAGTAATAAATAATAAGTTTTCTAAGAAATCTAGAATACCACTAATAATAATCAAAATAAAAGAAATAAATAATGAATTAAATTAAAGATCTTCATTCTCCATTAGGTGAATAACATATTAGTTGTGTTTAGCATAATATATACACACAAATGTAAACCCCAAACACTAATGTTGATTTTCTTTTTCATTGAATACAACCGCAACCCTTTCTTTTCTCTTATTTCCGTTCTGTTCATGTGATCGTAAGAATCTCATCAATATACATATAGATGGGGCAAAAGGAGTTTTTTAGTTCCTTAACTGACCTTGTTTCTGATTTTGATTCCCTAAACAGTCCAATTTTAAATTTTGATCCGGTGACAATTACATGTTGCATGTGGTCATGGGAACAAAAACGCTATTATTTTCCTACTTAAATGACCCAATCTACAATTAGACACATTAAGGAACCAAAATAAAAAATTTGATCAGGGACTAAAGAAACCCTTTGTCCATAGAGATAGATAATGCATTGATAAATCATATCATGCAATGTACTTGTTTTGAAACTATATATATATATATAAAAGGATGAAAATGACCAAGAAATAAATAAATAAGTAGATGAGCAAAATGTTGTAATAAAAATAGTTATATTTTTTACAGTGGGGAGTAGAAATAGGACGGAAAATAGCAAATTCAGTTCCAACTTCCCATTGCTAGGTCAAAGGCAACAACATATAACACTCATCTCCAACAATTTATAAGATGCAACAACTTCTGTTCCACTCTTATCAATCCAAAAGGTTATAAATAGACAAATTACAAGGCTTCTTGTCATTCACAAGCAAGTGACTTTACGTTCAAAACTATATCCTATTTCAATAAATTTTGTCCTCTTAATTTCTTCAACAATGTCGAGCGCTCAATTTAATGCTGGACAAGCTCACGGCCAAGCTCAGGTATTATTAATGTAAATTTACATTCACATTCGTATGCTAAGTAGTCAGGTGGCGTAGTTCTACCTAGCTATACAAATGAAAATTGTTTTTCTTTTATTCAATCAAAATAGCAAGGGTATGCTCTCTTTTCCAGTTTTCTTGACATTGTAATATTGTACACTGTACCCCTCCTTCTTGGTGCTAT